AGGGGGGGGGAAAATTTTCGTTTCAACCAAAGGGTTTTGGGGGGGGCCCTTTGGCCGTGGTCCCAGTGGCCTGGTGGGTGGCCCGGTGGCCTGGTGGCTAAAGCTCCCGCTTCACACACGGAGGGCCCGGGTTTGATTCCCGGCGGGTGGAAACATTTCGACACGTTTCCTTACACCTGTTGTCCTGTTCACCTAGCAGCAAATAGGTACCTGGGTGTTAGTCGACTGGTGTGGGTCGCATCCTGGGTGTTAGTCGACTGGTGTGGGTCGCATCCTGGGTGTTAGTCGACTGGTGTGGGTCGCATCCTGGGTGTTAGTCGACTGGTGTGGGTTGCATCCTGGGTGTTAGTCGACTGGTGTGGGTCGCATCCTGGGTGTTAGTCGACTGGTGTGGGTCGCATCCTGGGTGTTAGTCGACTGGTGTGGGTTGCATCCTGGGTGTTAGTCGACTGGTGTGGGTTGCATCCTGGGGTGTAGTCGACTGGTGTGGGTCGCATCCTGGGGTTAGTCGACTTGTGTGGGTTGCATCCTGGGTGTTAGTCGACTGGTGTGGGTCGCATCCTGGGTGTTAGTCGACTGGTGTGGGTTGCATCCTGGGTGTTAGTCGACTGGTGTGGGTCGCATCCTGGGTGTTAGTCGACTGGTGTGGGTTGCATCCTGGGGGACAAGATTAAGGACCACAATGGAAATAAGTTAGACAGTCCTCGATGACGCACTGACTTTCTTGGGTTATCCTGGGTGGCTAACCCTCCGGGGTTAAAAATCCGAACGAAATCTTATCTTAGCATTGGTAGGAGTATCTTCCCACACCACACGACTCACCACTTCCTTCCCGACTCCGTCTCTGGCAAAGTGAGAACATCACTTAACTAACTTGTCAGAATAACTTAACCAAACAATATATTCTCGTGCATTTTTGTTTTTTTTAATATTTTACATTTGTGTTCTGAAGTTGTTACTCAATAGGTATAGGTCCGACCAGCCACTCCATCTGTACGTGAAGCTGTCCAGTGTAGAGCCTGGTGACCTGACTCACCCATGGTGACCATACCTGGTGTATCTCAGTCACTAGTGATCCTGTTATGTGAAGACAAGCACCTTGTACAACTTCCTTTACTTGTACGAGAAAGAAGGTCGTGTTTCTCCCCTCTTATAGACCTTCAACGAAGTCATCATTTCTCCACTACCGTTGACTGTACTCTACACTATTCAGATATACGATACTGTAGTCTCAACAGACACTCATATACCCATATATATATATATATATATATATATATATATATATATATATATATATATATATATATATATACATATATATATATATATATATATATAATATATATATATATGTGTGTGTGTGTGTGTGAACAGTATTTAGATAAAGGTAGGGAAGTTTTTATTGCATTTATGGATTTAGAAAAGGCATATGATAGAGTGGATAGAGGAGCAATGTGGCAGATGTTGCAAGTATATGGAATAGGTGGTAAGTTATTAAATGCTGTAAAGAGTTTTTATGAGGACAGTGAGGCTCAGGTTAGGTTGTGTAGAAGAGAGGGAGAATACTTCCCGGTAAAAGTAGGTCTTAGACAGAGATGTGTAATGTCACCATGGTTGTTTAATATATTTATAGATGGGGTTGTAAAAGAAGTAAATGCTTGGGTGAACATTAAAATGGTATAAAATACCGACAGGTTGTTAGGTAAGACACATATGCAACAGTTAGGTATCTTTATTTCGAAACGTTTCGCCTACACAGTAGGCTTCTTCAGTCGAGTACAGAAAAGTTGATAGAAGCAGAAGATACTTGAAGACGATGTAATCAGTCCATCACCCTTAAAGTTTGAGGTGGTCAGTCCCTCAGTCTGGAGAAGAGCATTGTTCCATGGAATAAAACAATGCTCTTCTCCAGACTGAGGGACTGACCACCTCAAACTTTAAGGGTGATGGACTGATTACATCGTCTTCAAGTATCTTCTGCTTCTATCAACTTTTCTGTACTCGACTGAAGAAGCCTACTGTGTAGGCGAAACGTTTCGAAATAAAGATACCTAACTGTTGCATATGTGTCTTACCTAACAAATGCTAGGGTGTTCGGGAGAGGGGTGGGATTAAATTATGGGGAATCAAATACTAAATGGGAGTTGACACAGTTACTTTTTGCTGATGATACTGTGCTTATGGGAGATTCTAAAGAAAAATTGCAAAGGTTAGTGGATGAGTTTGAGAATGTGTGTAAAGGTAGAAAGTTGAAAGTGAACATAGAAAAGAGTAAGGTGATGAGGGTATCAAATGATTTAGATAAAGAAAAATTGGATATCAAATTGGGGAGGAGGAGTATGGAAGAAGTGAATGTTTTCAGATACTTGGGAGTTGATGTGTCGGCGGATGGATTTATGAAGGATGAGGTTAATCATAGAATTGATGAGGGAAAAAATGTGAGTGGGGCGTTGAGGTACATGTGGAGTCAAAAAACGTTATCTATGGAGGCAAAGAAGGGAATGTATGAAAGTATAGTAGTACCAACACTCTTATATGGATGTGAAGCTTGGGTGGTAAATGCAGCAGCGAGGAGACGGTTGGAGGCAGTGGAGATGTCCTGTCTAAGGGCAAAGTGTGGTGTAAATATTATGCAGAAAATTCGGAGTGTGGAAATTAGGAGAAGGTGTGGAGTTAATAAAAGTATTAGTCAGAGGGTTGAAGAGGGGTTGTTGAGGTGGTTTGGTCATTTAGAGAGTATGGATCAAAGTAGAATGACATGGAAAGCATATAAATCTGTAGGGGAAGGAAGGCGGGGTAGGGGTCGTCCTCGAAAGGGTTGGAAAGAGGGGGTAAAGGAGGTTTTGTGTGCAAGAGGCTTGGACTTCCAGCAAGCATGCGTGAGCGTGTTAGATAGGAGTGAATGGAGACGAATGATACTTGGGACCTGACGATCTGTTGGAGTGTGAGCAGGGTAATATTTAGTGAAGGGATTCAGGGAAACCGGTTATTTTCATATAGTCGGACTTGAGTCCTGGAAATGGGAAGTACAATGCCTGCACTTTAAAGGAGTGGTTTGGGATATTGGCAGTTTGGAGGGATATGTTGTGTATCTTTATACGTATATGCTTCTAAACTGTTGTATTCTGGGCACCTCTGCAAAAACAGTGATAATGTGTGAGTGTGGTGAAAGTGTTGAATGATGAAAGTATTTTCTTTTTGGGGGGGGGGATTTTCTTTCTTTTTCGGGCCACCCTGCCTCGGTGGGAATTGGCCGATGTGTTAATAAAAAATATATATATATATATATATATATATATATATATATATATATATATATATATATATATATATATATATTAAATTAAATTGTTGATGAGAGTGTAGAGGTGAGCCGCAGCATTAATGATCCTCGCGTAGTCAATAGGCTTTAAACTTAGTACATTAATTTTATAATAAGTTTATAAATGGTCCAAAACTGAGCGAAACATTGCTTAAAGTTACCTCGCCAAAGTGTGGATTGTATGATAATTGTTCCAGCCACAGTATTGTGAATTTTATTCTTGGTGAATATAGACACGAGTGTTTTAGAAGAAGGAGAGAACTAACCTTGTATGACAGAGGTGTTGGTGCATGTTGAGACGGGGTGAGCAAAGGTGCCATTGGGACGGAAAATATAGGCACCAGAGGCTCTCTTCTCCTCCTGGCTGTTGTCGCCACTCATACCAGCGTACCACAAGAATGTCTGGTCAACCTACACATACATATATATAAGTGCCTTGTCCAAGCTCGCTGCCTCGCTCTCACTCTACCATTCTCTTACTCATTGTCACTCATTTCGGCTCTCCTGTTCTTTCATTTTTCTCATTCCCACATTTAATTATCACTATCTCTCTACTTATCATGATTTATCTTAATAATATATGTCTTCTCATAATATAACACATTCTTGTATCTTTTTTTTTGTTGTTGCTGACACACACACACACACACACACACACACACACACACAGCACACACACACACACACACACACACACACACACACAACACACACAACACATGGGGGTTGTTTTCCGACCGGGTGTTTTAACATAGCCAGGTGTATTTTAAACTCCCCTTTGTATTTTTTAATTGGAGGTGTTTTAATCCCCTTTGGGGGTTTTTCCTCCTTTTGGGCAAACCTGCCCGGTGGGGTAAATAAAATTTTTTAAAAAATTTATTTAAAAAATTTATTTAAATAGATGGGTAGGTTTAAACCAGCAAGGGTTCTGGTAAAAATAGCCCTTTATATTAAATAAAATTTTTTGGTTAAACTAGCAACGGGGGTTTTTAAAACCCCGCCCAGGTGAGATTTAAAACCACACTTGTGTTTTAAATAGCCAGGTTTTGTTGGAAAAGGGGGGGTTATTTAAACGTTGGTGCAGGGTTAACGACGGTGCGGGGGGAAATTTTGGCACCAGGGCTTTTCCTGGCCCTGGTGCCATTTTAACACACACGGGGTTTGGGTTTAACCTCACCATGATTAGGGTTCCAGCACCTGGTGCTGGTTACTCTACCATTTCAGGGGTTAACCTGACCGGGTTAAATTCATCCCCTTTATTCATTTCCAAACCCATTTATTAAAATAAGGGGTTCATTTAACAAACCATTTTTATTTTTTTGGGGTGTCAAACACCCCACGGTTCCCCGAAACCAAAAAAACACACACCAGGGGCCCCAAAACATGGGACCATTGTGGGGTTAAACAAAAACCCCAGGTTTTAGGAAACCCTAGCCCGGTTCAATTAAATAGGGGGCATGTTAAATAGACCATTTCATGGAAAAACCACCCCAAGGGGTTTAGGAACCTGAATGGTGCGGGGTTTTTAAACCGCCAGGGCAGGAACCACCCCGGGTTCAGGGTTTAAACCTCCCAGGTTATTTTAACATCCCCTTTTTTCCTTTTAAAACCCAGGGGTTTGGAAACTTGAAAGGGTTCTGGCACTGCCATTTTTGGTCACAGCACCCTGTTTTCATGGTTCCCCGTTTTTGGGTTGTGGGGTTCACTGCCATTTGGGTTTAACTCACCAGGTTCTGGTTCCTAGCACCCCAGGGTGTGGGGTTAAACACTGAAATTTGTGTAGGGTTTAAAACACTAGACTGTTGTCGGGCAAAACACAGCAATTTTGTTTGGCACTGCCCATTTTTTGGGTTTAAAACCATAGCCCCTTTGTGTCTTTCCTAGAAATTTTGGTGTCGGGTTAAACACGCCGGGTTCGGGTTCCTAGCCATGGGTGGGGTTTTTCCTAGCCTTGGGCATTCCTGCCCTGGGTTCTGAAATAAAAGGGTTGTTTTTAAACCTACCCATTGTGGGTTTTCCTACCCTTTTGGGTTAATTTAAAACCTACCCACCTGGTGTCGGTTTTACCTAACCCTGGTGTCAGGAACCCTGCCCATTTTTGGGAAAACCTACTCGGTTTTGGGTTTAAACCTACCCAGTTCTTTTTCCTAGCCCTTGGGCAGGTAACCTGAAGTTCGGAAAATACCCATTTTTTGGGTTTAAAATTTCCCATTGTTTTTTTAAAACCTAGAAATTTTGGGTGGGTTTAAACCATTTACCCATTGTTGGTTCCTAGCCCCCCCCCTGGTTCTGTTAACCTAGCCCCATTGCAGATTCCTAGCCCGTTGGGAAAAACCCAGCCCTTTTTGTCTTTTCCAGACCTGGTGTCTGGCACTCCCATTTTTTGGGGTTTTAAAACCTCCCATTTTTGGGGTTCCTAGCCCATGGTTCTTTTTCCTGCACCGGTTATTTTAAACCTACCCATTTTTTGCCGGGTTAAACACTCACTATGGGTCAGGAAAACCCAGCCCTGGTGTCGTTAAAACCTCCCAGGTTCCTGCCCGGTTTCCTAGCCCTTGCAGGTTCCTGGGTTCAGGTTTAACCCCAGCCCATTTTTTGGGGTTTAAACCACCCCCACCCTGGTGTCTGGAACCGCCCTTTTTGTCAGGTACCTAGACCCTGGTTGTCTGGTTAAATAGCAATTGTTTGTTACCTCCCCAAATTGTTTTTAAACCTCAATTTGTGGTTAACCCACCCATTGTTTTTTTAAAACCTGCCCGGGTTCTTTTCCTGGGCACCAGGTGTTGGAAAACCTACACCATTTTTGGGTTTAAACCTCCCAGGTTGGTTCCTAGCCCATGGTTCGGGTTTAAAACCTACCCAGGTTTTGGTTTTCCTAGCCCCAGGTTCGGTTCTGGGCCCAGGGTGTCGGGTTAAAAAAAAAGCCCTTGCAGGTTTCCTGGGGTGTCGGGTTTAAACCAGCCCGGGTTTTTTCAGGGAAACATCCCTGGTGTCAGGTTTCCTGCCATTGTGGGAAAACATGAAATGTGGTCTTTACCACTGCCAGGTTCGGGTTCCTAGCCCAGGGGCAGGAAACCTGAATGGTTAAAGGTTACTCTCCCATTTTTGTGGGTTTTAAAATCCCATTTTGGTTAACACTAGCCCTGGTGTCGGGGAAAACCAGCTTTGGTGTGGGGTAACCTACCCATGTTGTCCTGGTTACCCCCAGGGTGTCTGGCCCTAAAATTTGGGGTTAAAACTGCAATTGTAGGGTTAAACTACCCATTGTAGGGTTTAACACTGCCAGGTTCTGGTTCCGGGGCAACTGGGGTCTGTTCCTAGCCCTTGGGGGTTCTGCCCTTTTGGTTCCTGTTTGGTGTCAGGTTTAAAACCTAGACTGGGTCAGGTTCCCCGCCCGGGTGTTGGTTACCTACCCAGGTTCTTGTTCATAGCCCATGGTTCTGGTTCCGAAAAGGGGTTAGATTTCATCCCATTGTCATTTAATTTTAATTGTATTTTTAAAATTTAACCGGGTTGAGGGTAAACCTGAAATTTTTGGGTTAACACTTACCAGGTTTCAAATTAACTAAAGGGTTAAACAAACCCCCAGGGTTAAACTGAATTTGGGTAGGGTTAACTGAATTGTAGGTTAAAACCTGAATTGAGATTTAACTGAATTGTGGGGTTAACAAAACCAGGGTGTCGGGTTCCCCTAGCCCCGGGGTTTGGGGTTAAAAATACAATTTTGTTTGGTTAATGCCCCATTTTAGGGTTAACTGAAATGGGTTTTTAGGGTTAAACTTAGATGGTTCGGGGTTATCTTGAAGGGTTCGGGTTAAACTGAATTTAGGGTTAAACTAGAATTGTATTTTTTAACTGTATTTAGGGTTTCTGAATTGTGGGTTAAAAAATACAAGGGTTCGGGAAAACTAGAAAGGGGTTTTTTTGGGTTAAACTGAAACCGGGTTTTTTGGGTAACTGAAATTTTGGGTTTAAAACCAAACACCTGGTGAGGGTTAACATCCCCCGGGTTGATTTAACTGAATTGTTTTTGTTTAAAACGCCCATGTTGTTTGGTTAAAACTGAATTGTGGGGGTTAAACCCTCCCCAAAGGGTTCGGGAAAAACCTGAAATTTTTAGGGTTTACCAAATTTTTGGGTTAAACTAAAATTGTAGGGGTTAAAAATGAATGGTTTTAAAATTTAACCAAAACCCCCATTTAGGGTTAACTGTTTTGATGGTTAAACTGAATTGTAGGGGTTATTTTAACCATGGTGTGGGGTTAAACTGAATTTTTTTTGTTATGGGTTAAAATACAAATTGTAGGTTAAACTCCCCAATTGTGGGGGTTAACTGACCTTTTTTGTCGGGTTAATCTAAAAACGGGGTTATTTTTAACAAACGTTGGTAGGGTTACCTGAAGGGTTGGGGTTAAACATGCCCCCATTGTAGGGTTTTAAAACCTGCAATTGTAGGGTTAAACTGAATTGTTGGTTAAATACAAGGTGTAGGGGAAACTGAAGGGTTCTGTTTAAAACTCCCCAAGGGGTTCGGGGTTTTAAAACGAAGGGTAGGGGAAAAATGTCTGGTGTATGTTAAAAGAAACCCCCATTGTAAGGGTTAAACCCCCATGGTGTGGGTTAAATCCCAATGTGTCGGGTTAAACCTGAGGGTGTGGGGTTTCCTAGCCCTGGTTTCGGGGTTAAATACCGGGGTTCTGGTTAAACCTAAAATTGTATGGTTAACAAAACCTGGTGTTTTTTTAACTGAATTGTAGGTTAACATCCCCAGGGTGTAAGGGTTAACTTGATGTTCGGGTTAACATAAATGGTTTGGGGGGTTAAACCTTTGAGGGTTTGAATTAACCTGAAGGGTTGGGGTTAACATTGACCCGGTTCAGGGTTTAACAAACCGGGTGTAGGGTTTAACAAAACCCCTTTTTGGGGGTAACTGAATTGTGGGGGTTAAAACTGAAATTTTATGATTAACATTTCCCAAGGGTTTTGGGGTTAAACCTGAAGGGTTTGTGGGGGGTTAAAAAACCCGGGTTCGGGGTTAAACTAACCAGGGTTTTCAGGGTTAAATAGACCCGGGGTTATGGTTAATCCCCTTTTGTGGGGGTTTAAAATTTCCCCATGGGTCTGTTTAAAACCTGAAGGGGGTTTGGGGTTCCTGAAGGGGTTTGTTGGGTTTAAACTAACCTGGTGTATGTTAAACCTAGACCGGGTTCTTGGGTTAAAACACTCCCCAAATGTGTAGGTTACCCTGGAAGGGTTCGGGGAAACTGAATGGGTGGGGGGTTAAACAAAAATTGTATGTTAAACCTAAAAATTTTGTGGGGTTAAACTGAATTTTGTAGGGTTAACACTGCAATGGTTTTCGGGAACACTGAAGGGTGTCGGGTTAAATTGAAATGGTTTCGGTTAA